CAGAGATTTTGATTACATTGCTGATTGGTGTTAACTTGCAGACACTGTGAACCCCCAGCTGACTGGCTCACAAGAATGCCTCTCTCAAAATACCGACCCTTCAATTGCTCTCTGTGCCACCTGTAGCTTCTGGGTTTTTTTAAATCACATGAAGATCCTTTTAAGTACTGTTTTAACACTCTTGTGAAGAGTGGCCTCTTTGTATATTGTTTTTTTATCTGAGCACTGGAAAGCAGGTCTATGGCGTTCATAAGCTGAGTTGGTGAACCCAGGCTGTATTGAGCTTCTCGCACATGGGCACACGTGGATCTGTACAGTTCTCTCACTCTTCCACAGCAGATAACATCACTTCTTAAAGTATCTGCCTTTAAGTGGGAAAAGCAGACTCTGAGCTAGGTAATCTCCACTCAGCCACATTGGAATAAGTTGGGATACTGGTAACACTCACACAGAACACAGTTCTAGGCGGAGAAGGCAAATGATTTCAGCTAAATATTGTGCAGTCTATAAAACTACACTCTTCTATGTACACCTTCATCTTGTGTTCTTAAAATAATGGTATTCAGAACAGATATGCCTTGTTTTGTAAATTTTCTATGGTATTTATTAGGAAAAATGTTAAATGCCTTGCCTTTGAGATAACAACTGTGTAAGTGCTTCCATTACAAAGAAAAATCCAGAAAAATCCGGAAAGTTTACCAAAGTCACTTGCCAAACAGTTTTGCCTTCAAGCTTCTTAAACACGGCTTCAGCCCCGCTTGGTTTGAGGAATGTATCGAGGACACTGCTCAGTGCAAGGCTCGAGCGAAGCACCCGCGTGGCCCCAGCCCGGCCCCTCCTGCCTCGGCCGCCTGCCTTGCCCGGCCCCGAGGGGGCAGAGAAGTTCCCCACTCCTTCTCTAACCACCTCCATCCTCCTCTGTCTGTCCACAATGTCATCTAGAAAACGTAAGGATTTTCAGTGTATACATGTGAACATGTATATATTTGGAAGGTGTAATGTATTCTTACCTCCTGGCAAGTAATTTAATTGTTCCACTTCATCAACATTGCACGGTGGCCAAGGGAACAAAAAACATATCCCTGTAGGCCACTGACCTCCAGCCCCTGGATTGGCAGTTACTGAGGGTAAAAAGCAATACCTTGTACCAGAATGTATAAATATTTTTGATAAAAACAGTGTATATTTTAAAAACCCCTTAACACTAAAAGCTGTACCTCAAAAGCTGAAAAATAATTTTGACCAGACACTGTGTGTATTTGTAAACTAAGACCTACTTTTGGCATCTGCTGTTCTGGGGGCAAACATTAATTCTTGGAAAATCAATTTCCCACGTAGTCCTTATCTCTAGCACCATTCAGCACTAACCTCACAGGTTCATCAGGGCCAGGAGTTTGCTGTTCGTGGTCTAAGGCAGTGAGAATCAGCACTCAAATTAATTAAGAACTGGTAATTTTATTAATTCTAAGAAGAAACACAAACCACTGGAGAGTGCAATGCTAAGGTGGTGTTTTAAAATCATGATGTTGGACAGACCTGCAGGGTCAGGCAGGGGAGAGGCTTAAGGGAGAAAAAAAAAAAATAATGGTTAATAGGTCTAAACCAGGCAAGTGCCCCACAGGAAGGAGGCAGGCACCTTCGCCAGCGCTGCAAATCATGTTGGGCAAAACGAGTCAACTCCTCAGCATTCCTTGTTTCCAGGTTCTAATTAATAAGAAGCAAATTATGTTCCTGTATCCAGCTGAAACCAATACTTCTGAGGTACAGTCAGCTCGCCCCTTTTTGGTTCCCAAATATATATATATATATATATATATATGTAAGCATCTAACAGGGTGCTTAACACTTACGAAAGTATCCTCAAGCATACCTTTTTGTAACTACATCTTGTACAGAAATCTTTTTTTTAATCTAAGCAAATCACTAAAAAAAAAAAAAATTAGAAAAAATTAGAGGGCAGGGTATGTTCACCCAGTTCAGCTGAAAAAAAGCACTAATTTTATCTCTGTAGTTTTTTAAATATTTTTAGGCAGATTAAGATTTAAACCCTAGATTGTAAATATATTTTGCTATACTTTATCTGTATGTGGCTGCTCAAGCACTTTGTAAGGAAATTAGGATATTTTAGAATGGTACACTATGCATTAAAATGAAATGTGCCTTTAACAAATGTCATTCTAAGTGTTTTGCAGTCATTAATATCACAAATTAAAGTTCTAAATAGAGCAATTTGTAAATTGTGTCGCAAACATGATTTTGCTGGTTATTGAAGTAGCTGGTCATGTTTTCTCCACAGGTAACTTCAAAAAAAAACACTTGCAATCAGGAGGGGACCCAAATCTCTTGGTGATAGTTCAGTGTGCTTTCATTCTTTGAAAAAAAAATCAAACATACTGACTCTGCCCATACCTTCTCCCTGAAGGACAGCAGCCTCTTGCTTGGAGCAGGCTGAAGGCAGCAGAGGGACCACCTCAGGTGGAGTCTGTCCTGCTTGAATCAGCATTCTCCCCTTCCGAGGGCTGTCACCCCCTCCTGGGTGCTGCATCATTATAGTGTCTTTCCTCCCCACCCTTACACAGCAAGCTCTGTTAACAAGCCAAAACCAATACCCATCCCACAAGGAGCTTTTTCTTTAGGCAGAGGATGAAGCTTTCTTTTCTGAGTGCATTTAGAACTTAGCTCTTAAGAGCAAAGTGGAATTTCACGCGAGGCCATTGCCCAGAGACACTTCATACCTACCTAAGCAATCATTCCAGAAAGGGCTGGTTCCAAACTCACGGAGTTTCAAGTATCTAGTCTGAGCTGGAGATGAATTAAAGTAGGAGGTGCTTGAAGATATTATGCACTTGTGTGTGGGGAATGCAACCCTTCAGCCCTCCTGCCTTCTCCCGGCCTGGCTGCTGAGCCACCTCCCCCAACCACAGCCAAGTGTTAGCAGAGAACCCAAAACCTGCCCCCAGGTGCAGCCCGTCCCCACAGCCCTTCGGGCTCTGCTTCTCAGGCAGCCTTTGCTGCCCCTGCCCCTGGCTGACACAAGCAGCTACTAAAGGGGTCATAACTGCCTAAAAATTAATTCACAGCTATACCCTTTTTCGTGCTGTAATGCTTCACATAACTGCAGTCTACTGGGACCAACAGTAACTGTTTTTCAGAATACACCTGCCCCTTCAAGCATATTCCTAGTTCTGCCTCTTAGGGCTGCAAGTTACTGCCACTTCCACACCACGGGAGATGCAGCAACTGCTTTCACAAGTGCAGGGTCAAGCCAGGATAGCATATCCTGCCTCCATCTGCTGCACTTCAGAGCCTTGCACAGATGTGTTTAAATTCCTGTCCAGACAGCTTGTGCTGTATCTACAATTTCAATTGCAAACACTCACCCCTCACGTGTCAAGTGCTCATGCCTAGTGCCTGAAAGGATTGAAAGTAGGAGCATTATGGGAAATGAAAGTTTCAGTCACTTTTGACCTTGTAGCAGATTTAACCCACTAATTACGCTGGAAAGCAACAATCAAAGCAACTTCCTCCTTTGCACTTCCAAGCTGTAACACTCCATTAAAGGTCAGGCCCTGCCCATTTGAAGCATCCCCCCATCTCCCACAGAAGAGGCAGATGGAATAGCTCAGAGAATGACAGGGAATGCCCAGGTAATAGAAAATGTTGCAACGAACTCAAGGCAGTACATCAGACACTTGAATACGTGCCCCCCAACTACCAAGCACACCACGCCCCACACCTGCACCCAAACCTTTCCTGACTGCAACCAACAGCTTCAGTGGTGTAACAGGACTGTACAACCTTTGTTACTTGTTTACTGAAAAAAAAACGTTGAGCTGCCACATTTCAATCGTCTCTGCTGGCAGAAGAGGATTAAAACTAAACCAGCAAGAAACAGTGAGGGCTATTGACAATTACTGCCGTGGTACTGGACACAGCCTTCCCTCTGGACGGCTTTAGGACCAGGTGTGCAGCAAGCTGACCCTCAGCTGTTCATTTGGGTGGTTAAACTGAATTTGCACTCGTGATACAAAATGAATTCAGGAACCAGAAGACTCCCAGTTGAGTGCATTTGCTGCTTTGCACACAAAGGGATACTGTCAGGAGGCATCTGGTATTCAAAGCTCTTAGTCTGGGCAGGGCTGAACAACTTCAGGCCTTCACTCAGCACCTGGCACATCATCTCCAGCAGGCAAGTGCTCACTTAAAACACAACCACAGGCCAGTCAGACTGCAGGGCGGACTGGCAGGTCAGAACATTCAACAGAAACACACTAGAGATGCTTGGTATTGTACAGAGGAAGGTAAAAGGCATGAAGTTACCAGGAACTGAAGCAAAGTGAGTCCTCGTGCTTCTCTTCAGTTGCTTTGTCATCACATCAAATTCAAAGAAGAAAAGCAGAGACATCAGTGAAAAAAATCACAGAGACTGAGCCAAAGATGCAACTAATCCTTTTGCAACCAATTTAGAAATCTCCTGCAGCAGTTGTGCAAACCTTTGAATGGCTGGTCAGCAACTGCTTGGCTTCTGGTGCAATCATCCGTGCTCTACAGCTGCCTACAAATACTGGAACACACTAGAGAGCAGAAACTGTCCAGAAAGCGAGTATTTAGGCAGCCTTGTGAGCAAGCCCATGAGTACGAAGCTCACTCCACCATTCCATGGACTGCACTCCCGTTCTCAGCATGTACAGCAGCAGGTGCATGTCACACTGCAGTCATACCCACAAGATGGTAAGTGTTTTTGGAAAACAGTTTATTTGGGAATTACACAATATTTTAAATTCTCCAAAATACATCTTACTAGATCCCTACAAAAGAAATCTAAATAAGTACAACAATATGAAATTAAATTTGTTGCAACAGTCATTAAATATTTACTTCCACTAGTATATACATACAAAATGCCACAATGAGCTCGTTTACCCTTGGAATGTGTGCTGCGTTCCAGCAGTTATGCTCCATCTCCATATCCTCCAGTTCCACAACATGAAGACTCAATATTAACACTTTGTACATCCTTTATTATAGGCAAAAATAAAGAGTTTGTTGGTTTTGTTTTGGTTTTAATAGAAATTAACCCTCTGCAATTTCACAGCTGTGGTAGTTTGTCTACTGGGGTATCAAACTTGAAGTCTGCTGGGAAGAGATCTGGAGCTCGAGGGTAGATCAGCCTGTATGACTGTCTGATTGTAACATCAGCCACACCAGCAATATCACCAATTTCTACAACAAAAAGCAGAGAAGTGGTTACTTTTTACTTTTGCCATTTATATTGAAAAAACCAGCAGGCATAATTTATCAAGGAGCACTTAGACACTTGCTTCATTCGTAACTCTCCCACAAGCCTGGCAGAAATGGTTTTAACTGTGGTGATTAATACTTCACATACGTAAGTCTGTCTTCTCACGTACCAGAGTTCAACTTACCCATCTCTCCTGGAATAACATCAGTTTTAAATTGCAGAGGGCCAAGAGTGTTAGAAACATCTACTGCAAACTCTACATATGATCAGCAATATTTTATAAATTGTCATCAACATTGGGATCTTCACTTTTGTGCTTTGATTGAATATAAGCAAAACAAGCAAAAAGCTGAGAGACGGACAAAAAGCGATACCTTCAGCTAAACATGAAATACATTTACCTTAAAATGCACCAAGAAATAAGGCAAAGGCACAGAGCACTGTAATGACTGAGAGAACACTTGTTTGAGATGCACAGAAACTTAACTTTATTCAAGATTTAATCAAATTAGGAATTTAGGCCTTGGCCTGCGTGACAGCCTTCCTCATTGTGTGAGGACACTGGGGGAGCAGGGAGTCCTGGGGTATTTTAACGAGCACTCCTAAAAGGCACAGTCCAGCAGCTCACTCTGAGCACGGATGATGGCACTGCACCGCCTGGCTCTGCTTCACCCACACGCCCAGGGACCTGCCAGCATGATGGGAGCTCCAGGGACATAAGCAGTTATGAACGCAGAACAAAACACCACAGCCTGACAGATAAAGGCTATTCTTCACCTAAAAGCAACTCTCCACTAAGAAATTACTACATTTTAAACATTTCTGATCTGAACTGGACTAGACAGTTCAATGGAGCTTCCCCAGCCAGCTGTCAGTACTTGGATCCATTCCTCACATCAAGTTCTAACCACTGCAGCCTTAGCTCCCTTCCTTCCCCACAGCATTGCCCTCCTGTAGGTCTCATCCCTTGAGCCCTGGGGGCTGATCCACGCTGCTCTGAAGCACAAGAACAGCCCTGAATTCCTTACTGGCTCCCCAAGGGCTCCCATACCAGCAGCGAGTCGTGCCCAAAGCAATCTACAGCAAACTCCCCTGTCCCACTGCTTTCAGTCTACCACAGGCTCACAACAAGTCAAAGAACAGGAACTAATGTAGGTGACTCCCTGGCTCCTGGAATGATTGAGGACTCAGTGTAATCCTAAGCCACAGTGCTACCTGCAACTGCCTGCATGTCTGTGTTTGGAATATTTCAGAGCAGCAGGATGTACACATGCAAATATTGGCATGGGTAAACTTAAGTTATGCTCCTTTGAATGCACTGGCCCATAGCATTCAAGAATGCAATGCTCCCAGTGCCAGATGAAGATGAACTCTGTTTACAGTGAGCACAGCCAGTTCTCCATTCTGGGGCCTGGGAGATCCTGGTTTGGTCCCTGCTATGCAGTCAGAACGGCAGCTCATCACTACTTGCACACACCTCACCCAGGTTTTACAGCAACGCTCAATATTCTTTCAAGCGGGAAAACATGGTCAACTAAAAAAAAAAAAAAAAAAAAAAAAGCTGTTTTACCTTTTTGTGTCCTTTTCTCTGAAGAGGCTTGTGATGCCATGTAAATAGCTGCAGCTGCTACAGAGATAGGGCTTCTGCCAGGAACCAAATCTAATTCCACAGCTTTACGGGCAATGTGTGTTGCTGCCATTTGTACTTGTTTGGGAAGCCCCAGATTGGAACAGAATCGTGACATGAAGTCTCCAGTTGTAATCAAATCAACACTGGTTTCAAGAGCTTTCAAAATAAGTTTAAAACACCGACCTATTTCCTTCTTTGAAATCCTGGACACTGCACATATTTCTGAAGAAAGAATAAAAATTAAACTTTAGACTTGACAGCACTTGCTCCCCCAAAATAATCAAATTTGATTCCCACTAAGAAGGCCACTGTCACTAAATAAGCTTTGAACATTTGTCAACTTCAGTCCACCACATTTATCATAGGGAGCTAATTAATACAACTCACTTAGTAGGGGAAATTTGGTGCTCAATGCTAGAGAGCTGAATCCCTGTCAGGGAACAGTTGCCCAAATTTACTGCAGAACTGCTGGTTCAAATTCAGTAACAACACCATTCTCCCATCAAAACAACACTCAAGAGTAACTTTCAAACGCGAAATTCTTTTTAGTGCAGTATGACCAAAAATCCCATGCCCAAGAGCCTACTCCACAAATGTAACGAATTTCCAGAGAGTCTTCTACCCTGCCCCTCAAGGATGAACTGTAGCAGAGAACAATCAATTTGACAAAGTCCAGGAATGAGAAAACCAACCTCCTCCAGTGACAGTAACTAGACCTTTACTTCATAGCAAAATTGAATCTGTGTCATTGTAAACTTACCTTTAAATGTTCTTGGAACCCCCTCTTGCCTACAGGCTATGTAGAGACAAGCAGAAGCAATGGCATCATTACTCCTTCCCTTCAGGCTCTTTTGCTCATACACTTGCTTGAATAAATTATTTGTTCGATCCTTCAACACAAGAAGATGAAATTTAATTAACTCTAGGCCATTTAATTAGCAGCAATATCAAAAATTCATGTGCTCATTATATTATGCTAACTAAGTCAATGCCAGAACAATTTAAGGAAGGGAGACATGAACTTACAACTATATTTCTAGGGAGGTTGATTCTGTCCGCCATGTTCGTGATTTCTTTAAAAGCATTCATCATCGCACGATCAGAGCTGCTCATAGTTCTGCGGTTTTGGTACTTTGAATTCCCAAATTCATCAAAACTTGCTGCACCTGTGCCCTGAAAAGAAAGATTTGTATTGTCAACAACACAAGGAACTTCCTCCTCACTTTGAGAACAAACATCTTCCAGCTTTATACATTTTATTTCAAGGCATCGGTTCAAGCAGTCGTTCAAATAAACATCACAAAGTAAGTCATTCACTCGAGCATTGTTCACACATCAAGTTCTATGCTTTGCACCAGGCTCAAACTGTGAGTCGCTTTCCAAAGACCACAGATTACACAGGGGTTTTCCTTCCTAATGTAACAATGGTTTAATGTGTGCATCTCAATACTCTTGTCACCAATGCTGAGGTCCAAGATGATATTTTATGCAACCCATGTGTCCTTAGGACTGCACCTGCACTGTGGCACTCTGGTGAGTACGGCCAGCTCAGACCAGCTACAACGATATCTCAACTATCACAGTGAAGGCATGGGCAAAGGGAACATCCAAACCAATGAGCTATTCAGACCCAGTTTAATACCATGCCTGCTAGCAGTTGCAAATCTTAGTCAGAAAATGGAAATATCCATATATTTTGACTTTACTGGAAAATGATGGACCTCCTAAAAGAAAAGCTTGAGGTCTTACAAAAAGTAAGAGCCACAAACTCAACCTGGCCACTTCAAAACAAGCTTCTGACATGCACTTCATTTGTATCTTACAACTGAGAGTGCAAATTGCACACTTCTATTAAATATGCAAATTTTCTGAACTACAAGGGCCTGAAACGTCTAATGTTTTCAATTAGCCAGCAGTCCAAAACATGTCTTTAACAAATAATGCCATATCAGATTAGTGATAGCTGATGACAACCCCACAGCCTGCGAGTTCAGAAGACCAATGACTGTAATTTATATTGACTGTTTATGTGGTTGCTGTCACAGTGCACAGGGGGCCGTGAGTTCTCTCAAGTGGAAAATGCTTCTTCACAACAATTCTGTCATGAGTAGAAACCTGGATCTTCTGAATTCACATGCATTTATTCCTTTCTGGCACCTTCAAACAATTTATCTGGGCAGGGGCATCCAACTCACTGCAGACAAATTTGGGCATTTAAGCAACCCACTGCAGACACCAACTACTACACTGTCTGTCCTGCCAAAAACGGTAAGCATGAAGCAGGTCTTGCTCTGTGACTGACTGATAACCTGGCTAAGCACTTGCACACAGTTCTCATGTTGAAGATTCAGCAATGTATCAGGATGTCCAGGCTGTACAAAGCAGGGTGAGGACACAGTGAACAAAGGACAGAACATGCCCTGGCATCACCTTTTTCTACTGAGCTGCCCTGTTTCTTCTTCCCTGACCCATTTCTTAGGAATCGCCCTTCTATTTTGACACAGCCTCTAATTCTATAATCTCTGTGTGCTTCTGCATTTAATACCTGTTCCTTGCCTGAGAGTAGTAACACTCACTCTTGTCCATTCACTTACACTGGCCCACTTCCCCCTGCCAAGGCCTCCAGCACACCCCGTTTCCGATGGGCTCAGCCGACGCCTCCACTGCTGAGACCCCTATCTGTGCTGCACACACTTGGATACTGCTGTGGCAACTGAGGACTGGCACTAAAACCCTCCCTCACCAGTTTCCCTGGCTCCTTGAACAGGCCCTCTGTGACAGCTGCTAGATCACAAGACTGTTCTTGTTTTTCTACACCTTCAAACATCCTTTCGCATGAAACAAGCATCCAGAACTGATCCTGGCACCAACACAGAAGAAAGATGCTCCAAAGACAATCTTACTTCCTTGACTGGATGAACACCTCCAACTATCCAAAGGTTTCCAGTAAGATATAAATAAAAAGCAAGAATCAAGCACAACAAACTTCAGGCCACAAAGAGCAACGTTAGACTTTCCTTTCAAAAATTATGCCAGAACTTCCTTGGTCCAAAATATACAGAAGTCTCAGGTCAAAAGGCTCCTTCCTGGCCATCACACATCCCTGTTCCCTGCACCGTGTTACAACATTCATGTGCATCAAATGGCTCCTAGACCAGCACTATGCACAAGTGCTTACAGGAGCTGCATGTGCTCCAACTCTTGCAGATGCCAGAGGAGTGACCACAAACAACAGCAAGACCCCAGTCCTTGTCTATCGGGCTTCATGCCAGATAGCATTTTACCAGGGCATACTGCTCTGTCCTGGGGCCAGCAAGTATTCCCCTTCACCACAGGGATTCTCCCCGGTCCCCTGGTTAAGGAGAACAAAACACCAAAACAAACAAACAAAAACCAAACCAAACAAAAACCAAACAAAAACAAAAAACAAACAAACACGTCTTTTAGGTGCTGTATATTGGAACTAGGCAAGGATATCTGCTGATATGAGTGCTTTCCAAGAGCCATACCCAATATACAGTTCAGAGCTATAAAAGGGGTGGAAAACATGCTTCCATCTCAACTGCTTACATAAACCACAGCTATTCTCCCTGCATTTGCTATTTAAATGCACCATCTACTTTCTTTCTGGAGCTTTCAACTGAGGGACAATGCTTTGTTGACTTCAGCCCTTGACAACCATGTTAGGAGGGCCTTTCCCTCCATGGAAAAAAAAAAAAAAAAGAAGCCACACAGTTTTAGCTGAAATAAAACAGACTTTAAGAATTGTGTTTTACTGTTGTGGCCTTTGAGACATCTACTTCTATCTTTCCCATCTCACCAAGAAAGGTATCTGACAAAATCAGGAGTTCTACCTGTTTGGCTTTCAAACAGAACAGAAACCTCGTGGATACAATCCTGGAAACAGCATTCAAGATTGCTACAGTGAGAAAGCACAGTCAAGTAAACAGTGTTAATCTCTGAAGAGGCTCTGTGGTGGTCAGGCTTACAGTGCTGGCAGCCAACAGCTTTATACCCCAGTATATACCACATTTAGCAGAAAGTAAAAGTATCACCAGCATCATCCACATCACTGACTTGGGGTTAACCACAGCATCAAGGCATGCCCCCAGATCCAGCAGTTTTCTTGCCCAGTACAACCAGCTGATGGATCCTTTCTTCTTTTTCAATCATCAGCCCCTGATATCATGCCATTGCTTCTCAACATAGCACTTCCAGATTCAGGCCACGCAGTTTGACAACAGCCAGCTTCCTTTCAGAGATATCTGATCAAAGGGTAGGAATTCTATGCCAAGAGACTGCACTAGTTCTTTGTTCAAGCAATCTAAATTCTCTTGGACTGGCAGTCATTACAAAAAGGAATCAATTAACTACCAAGGGTGACCAAAGACAACGTTTTCCACAAGATAGGAAACAAACTTTCAATTTTCTTTTAGATTCAGAGAAAAGAGTTCTTTATATCAAGGCAGACCTAGAAGCTGCTTGTGCAGTTATTTTTCTTTAATTTTACGTAAGAATTTTAGAAATAATTGTAGTATTCTGGCAATCAAGTCACAATAAAGTGCAACTTCGCCATGCCTCCAATTGATCTGCATTGTAATCAGACCAACTGCAGCACAGAGTATGTAATTTCAGAGAGTTACAGTTCTGTGCCAATATCCTGAAGACCTGCCTGTGGAATTCAAACCACTTCCACCACAGTTAACTATGCTATTCACCCTCCTCTTCACAGACAAATTAATCTTTCTTCCAACACAGGCTGCTGCTGCCTCAGACAGATGGGTTCTTTAAGTACTAAAACCAATTAGGAATTAATCCCTCTGCACGGGCAAAGCAGCTCCTCCTTCGCTGTGAGCAGATACAGAGCGCACACCCCCGGCAGAAAAGAGCCCTGGAGCAGCACCTCCTGGCTTCCAAGAGTAAAGAGTGACAAACCATTCTGTGAAACAGAGCTGGCCCCCTTCCTTTACTGTTTAAAGGCAATAGCCAGTCACCAGAACTTTGCTGTTGTAACTGGTTTAGACACCACTTCCACCTACATTCCCACAAGTTTACAGTCATCTCTAACACGACATGCCATGAGAATTACCTATGTCTTTTTCTTCTGGATTTTCCACAACAATGTGTTTTAGGGTGGTGGGGTATTTTTGGTGGAGGACAGGGCAGGCCTGCTGTAAAGATTTTGTCATCTGCAGACCAACATGGCAGAAAGGAATTACTCCTGTTCCCTGTCCCATGCAAAAGGCTAAAGCAATCTCTGGCACACAGATTCGGGGTCCACTCTGGGCCACTCTAAGAACTGTTGTTAACTGGGAAAATAACAATCTTACCTTCTTCCTTCTTTGGAATTCATGAAGGTTGTTCTGTACTCTGTCAGATACTACTTACCCTCCTCATGACTACACCAATTTCACCCTTGTTCAACCACTGTGCATATCTAGGTCAATCCTCATCCCAGCCTACTGCTGGCAGGGACTTCAGAAGACTGCTTGAGAAATGCACTACTTCCTTGGTTTAGTTATTTTTGCTGCAAAATTCATGCCCTTTCTGCACTGATAGGAGATTTCTTCAGCATCTTCTGATATAAGCCATTCTCTTCCTTCCAAATGACTGAAAAAAAAAGCAGCCCCTGATACAGAGTTCACATCAATGAGCTGACATCCCAGAGCCTCTGCTCTGGCAAGACAAACACAGGAACTCTTGTACAGAAAACATCCTGGTTTGTCAAAGAGACTCCCAATTTCACACAGACAATAATGCATCTCTTCTACGATTCCTCCCCATGCAAATAAAGTATCCACAGTTGGACTAATTGCCCCTTCTACATTCCCCAACACGATCCTGGCAGTTCCAGTACTTGGACATTTTTACTGAGTTCTCATAGGTTAAATCATGCCACAATAACATCCCACATCTTGTCTTCACTGAATGGCACTCTTTGCTTCAGCAAGCTTGGTCATGCCTATTATGGGATGTTCTGGTTAACAGCAAAACTGTTTCATTAGTTGAATGTCCATCTCTGAAAATTTTTTAATTTTCCCAGAGAAACTTTTCACAGAGGTTTCTTTATGTCTTCTCTCACTGAGGTTGCCATCCCTCTTATTTTAAGTTAGAACCTGAACCTCCAGAGAGAAGAGTGTTAACAGCACAAGTCCAGATTCACCTCAATAGAGAATCTAAAGGAGCTCAGGTCATTCTACCTATCGAATCAAACTGAGCTCTCAGAAACAAGTTCTGTATTTACACACTCTCAAAATGGAAACAACACGAACCTGGAGCAAACCGTCCATTTCTCATCTGTCCATAAAGGTCTGTTTCTGATCATCATAGCTGACCAAATCAGCAATGGAAGTCTACGCCCTCTCAACTACAATCTTTCTGATCCTACACAGGTGACATTAAAACCCCAGTGACTTCTACAGCACCGCTTCACAGAGCCACTTAGCAATGCCAATATTTTTAATGGAGCAGTGCAGATTTTGTTGCCTGAAAGGATTCCAAAAGCCATCCAAAATGTTACAGGCAGCAGTAACGTGCTTGGAGTTGTCCAAAACACAAACATCTGCTTGGACAATGCCTTGAGCAGAACGTTTCCTATTCACAGTCAAAGATCAGCTGTCCATCAGTATTTGCTAGTTGACCTCATCTCTCTGAAAAACTCTTGGTTAAAAAGGATGTTGCACACTTCCATATACACAGCCAAACATATTCAGGCATGTCTACTTCTTGAACCCAGCAACATCACCGGAACAAAAACTTCCGAGAAGCAAATAAAAAGCAACAATACATTTTTAATTTATTTATCAGTAACTGCACCGCCTTTCATGAAACATTCAAGAAATCCACACAAATTAATTTGGCTCTTGCAACAAAAACTGTAACAGAAAGTACAACAATGAAAACTTACCTGGGTCACTACTTCATTAAAAGGGAGTGCATTTACGTGACTAATCTTGCTTGCCCTCTCATTGGAGACAGCAGGATATAATTGCACCACTAAATTTTAACCCAAATATAGATGCAATACTTTCCTCTGGGACACTCACACCATGAAAGAATTCTACATTTAGTGCTTTAACATTAATTGGAAGAACATATACAACAAGCATGTAGATCTCCAGGTCTCCAATATGAACCTGATACAGATTTTACTATAAAAAAAGTTTCAGTCCAAGTTGGCAGCACTAGCTACTGAGATCTCAGAACTGAGTATCTTATTTCAGGATCACCTCAAATACACTTGCTAAGTCAAAGTGCTTCTGTAAAACTGCAACATCAGCTTTCCTATTTATAGCAGCATACCAAAGGGTGGCAAGTAACCACACAGCACTGCAGACTTTTTTTGCTTTTGTAAAGGTTGGCCCTTTCCTGCTACCCCCAGGTAGCACATTTGTGGCTACCCCCAGGTAGCCACATTTTACACCCTGTTGAAACATGAGTTCAGTTCAGGCAAGATCTCTGCAAATAAATACAATGAGTATTTTCCCTATGGACATACAATCATGTACTTGACATAAAAACACTCAAACTCAGTAAAATTTAGTATTTTAAGTGTTACCTTGCCAATCATTGTACTCAAGTCGCCATCACTCAGCAGAGGATTCTGGGTATCCCCAACTCGAGATGGATCTTTTGTTGCTTTGTCATTGCTGAAAGTTCTCCACTCTGAGCCTACATCTATGACCCGGTCACCTGAGATCACAGAAAGCAACAGTCTGCATTAATATAATGTGTCATGAAATATTTCAAAATATTAGGTTAGACATCTGAGCTCTCCATTGTAAGAAGGCAGCCTGTTGGCATTCCCAAACAGAACAGTAACCTGCAGGACAATATACCAAAATGTTTAGGATTACAAGTTAAAGCAGTGGGAAAAAAAAAATGCTACAAGAGCAGCACATAACTAGAGAAATGCATCCAGAACACCAAAAAGACACAGTTATCCAAAAAGAGATTTTCAGTATGCAAAAAGAATCAAGACCTTGATATCAAGCTGAAGTGAGGAGGTTCTCAGTACCTGGACAAATGAGTCAGTTGTTGTAACTTAACAAGTTCTCTCACATTTGCCATGTGTTCAAGGTGCACATGTGAATTATCTATCATGCATAATCCCCTTAGATTGTAGTAAATCACTTCTCTTGCATGAGTTCCACGTCCTTTGTACTCTCAACTTTGCACCTTGTAACCCACCATGACATTTTGCAGCTCAATTCTTGTTCTTTGAGTTCTGACCCTGCCCAATTCCCCTTCATTTATGATAACAGTATCAACATACCATCTATATATAAACTATTAAACTACCCTGTTATACCTGGAAGAGTTTCCATACAGATTCAGAGCAGGCAGAAAAAGCACTAAACCCACATTCTCTGAATGAAACAACTTGACTCGCAGTCCTCTGTTCATCTCACACTCACCTAAACCTTTCCTACAGCAACTCTGTAGTTTCAGAAATAACTAATCTACACTCTGTTGCAGGCAAAAGCCCAACAGTAATCACAACAAAAGAAACTCAGAGGGGAAAACAAACCCAAACACAAAAGAAAACGCAAAAACCCCAGTCCCCAACCCACTGTTGGCAGTGCAGTTCATTCCATTCACAGACCTGACAAAAGCTGCATCTCAAAGGTGTTGCCTCTAGACCGATACTACAGAATTTTTAAGAATACATGTACAGAAAAGCATAAAAAGAACACTAAGAAAAGTGTTACGCAGTAAAGCAGATTACAGCTCTGTGTAGCAAGCATATCAGAAGAAACTTCAAAATAATTATCACCCTTCTTTGCTAAACCTGAGGAAAAATTCACCACCTTTATCAGTGTTTCAGTGTGTCATGAAAGAAACATCTGCACAAAAATAAGCAGCACTGACTGCAATAGAAGTTTCCGGTATGGAAGTCTTAGTATGAAACCACAGGGGCTGATTTAACCTGGTGAAAACAAACAGAGAAAAAAGCACTCTGCAAACCAGGGTAATACAAGATACAAAGTTGGAGAAAATATAGGATGATATGGACAGTGGTGCATACCATAGGAGGGATCTATTCTGACAGAGTAACTCTATTTTTAACGTAACATTATGCAAGGAGAACGCTTGAAGTTGAATGCTGTGAATGAACCAAGAGAAATTGCCACAACCAAAAAGAGTAACTTTAGGTTAGAGGCCTTCTCATCAGTGTCATGCTCACAGCTGTGGCTTCACCTTTATTTGCTGCTAATGAAAACCAAGAGGGGAAGGAGAAAAACATCAAAAACTACAGGTTAAGAATACAGCAGAGTAAAAAGCAGCACACATCCATTCTTTCTGCTACAAAGGTCTCCCTCCTGCCCTTGCAAGCTTGAATTTGCAGACAGCGTGCTCCTCTGGCTCCTGGACTCTCTGTAAATATTTGATTCAGTAATGGTCCTTCTATGGCCTAGCAGTAACTTTACTTTCAGACAACCCCCCAATACTGTTTACAGCATCTAAAAAAAGCAAAATGTACTTAAAATTCTGGCATGGTATAAATAGAACACTGAGTACAGGGCAATGATGTAATATTTTTCCACACAAGTGGGAATGACCTAAATGACTCACTCAGGGATCTGCCTCTTGTGAGTTATGAACCATTCCTGCTCTAACAAAAAAGTGTTATATCACTGCCTGCTTTGGCAAACATATTACAAACAGAGGATTGAGACTACTATTTCAGAGTGAAAAAAGATTAAGTAGAACAAATCACTGAATATAAAGCATTTGTGTAATTAAGACACAGTATGCAAATATCTTTACTTTGCCAAGAAATGTGCTGTTGCAGAAAAGGAAGGTTTTCTGTGCACTGTCGGTGTCACTGAAAATAGAGAGAGGTCCTGAGAAGCACATTCCACCTTTCAAGAGGCTTCTATAGAAGTGTGACACATGCTATAAGTATTCACAAAAATGGAATAGGTCAAAAGGTTTCCATAGATGGAAAATGTATTTGGCTACAAGTAAAATTAACTGAATTATCCCACTGAACAACAAACAAAACCAAAACACTGAATGTGGTATTTATTATTTTTAACTCTTCAAAACACAAAAAAACCACTTTGTAACTGTGATACTAGTACAGATGCAATTAAGCCCCACCCTAAGTGATCAAAGCAAAACCTTAAAATACTAAATTCAGTCTTATAAAGCAGTATAAGAAATCAGCCTTGAAAACTGGTCCTGAGCTAAGATCTCCAGTCCTAAATTGAATTTGCTGGGTCACACAATATTGCCTGGCTTTCCTGAAGCAGCTGAACATGGGCCCAACAGTCAAAAGTGAGAGGAAGAAAGCCCCCAGTAAGTAAAATTGTCTCTGCTTTCTCACATCATGTTGGTTTTGGCAACTCTATCAAGCTGCAGTGAGGATGGGAGTGGCTGCATATTCCCTTTGCTACTTCCTTTTGATGCAGTTCTTTTGAACAAAAATAAGCTTTGCTAGATACAGTTACATTACACACGCCTTTATTTAATTTTCCTTAAATGGATGAGTTCATCTTCTCAGTTTCCTCCTCTGAGGGACAAAGAAAAACAACAGCTTACAGGACCAAATCTTTGTGAACTACATCTCCAGGATGGTATCCTAAAGCATCTTTCTGAACAGAATAATTTTTCACCACTACTCCGTTTCTTTCTGTAAACCATTCTGCCAGTATTCAGTTCCTCTTTAAAATACAGTCTAACAGACTAACACACAGGCTCCAGTGCAAACACACACTGCAAAACTTCCCTGACTCAGGTTGCCCACCCTCTGAAAAGCTCATTTAGTAAAATGCAGAACAGTTGCTCAGAACAGAAAACCTCAGACCAAGGTTACTTTTCTTCGCAACTGACAAACACAAAGAGCATTCACTGTAGAAATGCAAGAGCAAACTCAGGTCAGACTCAAAAATTAAAATATAATTTTGAACAGTTCTTAAAAATTAGCTTAAAATATCTATACATCAAAATTTATGTATGTTTCCTCCTTCCCTGAAAATAGAAAGTGATTTCTCAAGAGAAAATATTTTCATTCAACAAGGCCTGAATTTTCAGTTACATATTTATAGAGAAATAATACTAGCTATTTTAATGTTGCATTCCACTTGCAACAACTCATAAAAAATATTTCTTTTCTTATTTTTCTGCATTTTGTATTATCTGTTACACAAAGACAATATAGCTGCAAATGGAAGACATTTAACCAAAACAAAACGTGATGATATTCAAGCCTCAAGTAATGTCATCTTCCATATCCAGTCTTGAAACAGCTCTAAGAAGGCAGGTTAAGTTTTTTTCAGAGGAGCTCTCATGTTAGCTCCACATTGCATCAAGTTGTACACATTACTAGTTAATATTTTAATCTTAGCATAAATACGGTATTAAAAGTTTATTTGCTCTCTGAAGTCCCAAAATACCCATTGTTAGTAGAGAATGTTTCATTCTTACAGTTAGTTAAGGAACCTGCTGCCACCTAGTGAGCACATATATTATAATTCTAATTAAATGCCAAATTTAAGTGTGCGTGTGTGTATATATATATATAGGATTATACTTTATTTCAGTCAACTCCTTATGAAGTAGAGTGAAGAGCTGAGACAAACTACAAGGAAAAGCTACATAGCAGACTACAAGCCGGGGAGAATCATAAAGACAAGTAACTGCACAGAGCCACGCTGAACAGTCTGAGAATAACAGCCTCAGCTCTCAGCCTCTCCTAATCACTAAATCACTCCTGCAACCTTCGCTAGATTTGCTCCAGCAAGTCTCTATCTCTTTCTGGTACTGAGAAGCCCAGAGTCAGGCCCAGTACTCCAGGTGTCTACTCCTCCATATTCTATTTATTACCTTATATACTTCCCATACAGTAGCACTCACCTTCCCACACACACACTTTTCAGCTTTAGAACTTCTATTTAAGACAAGATGCATTAAATGTTACCAAAGAGTAAACTCATGGGACAAAAAAAAACACCAACCAATTTTACAGTCACAGTTTTTCTACAAAATTTCCAGTCTTTTGTAAGATAGCAGTATTCTTTGCAAAAGTTCTCATTTTCAATAAGTTGTCAACACCACAAATGCATCATCACCAACAGCAACATCTGTCTATTCCAAGTAACTAAAGCAGGCTTTCAAATGCTAAACAAAACATAAAATCCCCAAGCAAATGAAGAGAAAAGCCATAGACAATATCAACTAGTTGCCAGACATCAACAGCATCACACAAGTACCAAAAGTCAACTCTGGATTGAAACACACAGTGCAGCACCACAGGCAAGTGACCATTACGAGAACAAAGGTTTAACAGCTCCTGCATATCAAAATTATGACAAATCTAAAAGGATTTCCAGGCTTCCTAAGCCATCAGCTCATACAATAACTTTGGAGGAAGCAAATGAGAGTAGAAATGTTAAATGATCTGGTGCACAAGTCTGGTCAGCTGAAGTTACACCTCTGCAGGACTTTAGAAGATTACCAGCTCAAGTAATTGTGAAGGATGCTCCAAACTACAGAATCTCAATAAACAACGTCGTGCCCGATCTACACTACACATCACAAAAATTAGAGGCTACGGACTCTTTTTCCATCAGAGGAGTTCATATTGTTTCTAGCCCTTATTTGCCCTAAATCACTTTGTCAATCTCATAAGAAGGAAGTAAAAAAACATTCCCTACATAACATGATTCGAAATATCATGTTATTCCACTAGATAAATCTAGCACTTTACCTAATAAAAGCTCAAACACCTCTGGCCTCCAGCCAAGAACCCACTAACTAGAAAGTCTCCTACACCCTCAAAGAAATTTCATGCTACGAGAGGTGCTTATTACAAAGCCTTACAAAGGATGCCAACTTTTGTCACTGAAAGTCTGCTTACACTGTTACAAGTGTTATTGCTGAACAGCTAGAACCTGCTCTGGACACCAAACACGATAGCAGAAACCAGATAAAAGCTGCTAACACACATCAGTATCTAAAGTTTTTTGCCTATTTTTTCAAGCAATACTTTGAATTAAGAATTCATATTTTAGAGACTGGTAATACTTGCAGAAAGAAGTAAATGTGAACATGCACCCAAATACTAAAAGATGTTTCCCTATGGACATAACTGCCCTCTACTGGATCCACGTCAGAAGTACTTAAGCACCTTCCCCACTTACAGGATACTACCAGCAGCTGAAAAACAATGGTTTCTTTAGCCTTCAGAAAACAAGCATCTGTATAGAAGGCAAGCAACCTTATCCCTAATGACAGACATCCTGAGTAAAGAACCAGCCAGTTGAGAGGCAATTGTGAAACTCCTTCCTACTCGTCTATTATACTGCAGACAAAGAGAATACCTGTGGTATAGTTAAGTCTTACCTGATCTTCACCGATCACACCTGAATTTACAGTACCCCATTCAGATCTCAAACTTTTCTGAAGTATTAGCCAAACACATACTTGGACATAGTTTTATAACAGCCTTACTGCTGACCACAAGCTGTTGAATATTTTTCCCCAAAATTCTTCAACTGAACACTCAGGTATATATAGAACATGGATTAAATATCTGAATATTGGTCATAAACCAATTCCAAGCTTTAACAAGTCGATACATGTCCAAGGATCCTCACTAGCTGAAGACAGACTTTTTACTGAAGAAGGTTCCCCAAAAAAAGACTTGCTACAGGAGCAGTGCTCCTCTCTAAGCTATTCCTGCCTACTGAGGCAGACAGAGCTAACCAGTTACACAAAATCACATACTCCGTGCTGAAAACAAAGTCCTCACTGCTCCAACTCCTGCACACTAAGACAACATTTAATAAGGCTATACAGAAGTTTAAGGAAAGTCTTAGATCAGAAGGGCTGAGGTGCTACACATCAGTACATGCCACTGGGTTTGTTATCTCCCTCTGAAATTCAGATCACCACCTTGCTACATCAAGAAAATCCAGTGCTTTGTCTTCCACTTTGATTCTGCTTTCTTCAGCTCCTTCTGGCACATCAGCTGACTTCCAGCCTTTTTTACTGTCTAAAGGTAGTAAGCAAAATATTTACCTGACAAGAAAGAAGATTTACCAGAGTTCTGTTCTTGAACAACATGCTTTTCCCCCATCAAGTCTGTCTGAAGAATGAGATATAGTGAACACTTTAAATAAACAAAGAACTAACTGCTTCTCCAAGCCCTAGGAACTCTCTTTGTGAGCTCTCACACCAGCCCATGAACACTTATTGTACCACATAGCTTGATTGGAGAAAAGGATGTAGAATGAAACAATACTTGTGACAGCAGAGAAACTTGGACATAGAGTTGGAAAGTTTCAGATGCATGTCAATCCAGATTAATATCAAAATTCCATGGATAATTGTAATTTAGGTCTCCAAATGCCTTTCATGTAAAAAAAAGCAATTAGCAGAAGGAAAAGTTAACAAGTTGGAAATAATTACCATGAAAAGACAGAACACAAAATAACCCACAAAAGGTAACAGTGAAAAGGCAGATGAGAGTTTTTAGTAAACCGAAGCAGCATTTTGAAACAGTAATAAACCAGACATCAGCTTCAGTCATACTGACAGCACAAGATTTAATTATTTTAACAGTTTATTTAGAATACGTGGAAAATGCAATACACAAGATTTAACTTTAATCTTATTGAGACTAAGAACCTGTAAGTAGAATACAACTCTGATTAAAACTTTTTCTCAAAATCCCTTTAAAAAAGGAGAACTTGCAACATACAGCTCTGCCTAAAATATGAATTCAACTGACAGAGATCAGTTCCTCCTTTTCCTAGCCTCCTGCTCCCCCTAACTTTTCCAATGCTTTACATCCTTTCAGATGCAGACCTGATTAATGCAAGATCAGTCATAATAGTGTTAGTACTGATTTCATCTCATATTGCCAGAAATTGATTATAAAACTTGAAAATTATCTGTGCACCAGCCATTTTATCCTATGACACAGTTCTACATTTAACAAACACACTTTTTTCATAAATGCAAAACTTCAGTACTTTGCCATAGCAAGCACAAAAAACATCAACTGCAAATACACTTAGTTTAGGCAAAGTCTCTCAGCTCCACCTGCAGCTGCACACACATCAGAAAAAAAAAAAGTGAAGTCAGACCACTACGTACTTAATGTACTTTACAACAGTAAAACAAAGACACAAATTCAGATTTACCATTCTGTCCCATTACACCAGCAGTGCTCTGCAGACACTAAAAGCACAACCTTTTTAAATAAACCTGTAGCACTTCCTGGGCTACACAGTATATTGAGTTTTGTGGGGGGTTTAACTGTTCTAACTGATCCCCTTCAGCGATAAAGATCTAGTACTCAAGTTTGATTATTTTAGCATTTACTTTACCAAGCTATGTAGAATTTGCATAAAGCAAGCACATCTGTTTTAGTTACCTGGCTAAATTAGTATTACCTTTGCTGCAAATTCTTTAAACTTTTAGTTTTTTACAAAAATTTTTACTTTGACGAGCCAAAATAAAACCACCAGAGTGTAAGAGAGAGGAATATAAACCATTTGAAATATTTAGCACCACTGAATGAATCACCCAAATGTGCACTCTTCTTTCAAGAGGAGTTTTCTTTTCACAATGGCACGCCCAAAATAAATTACAGAAATCAACGGAGTTTAAACAATTAATAATGCAAGCATGGAAAGTTTCCCATGCAAAAGGAATAAAGGTTTCAGGATGCACATAAGATGCTCATCCTAGAAAAAAATGCATAAAAATGCATATGCAGCAGGTTCTACAACAACTCTCTCATTCAAACAAAGACAATACCTAAAAGGTCTTTTATTTTAAATATTCTATTATACTCGTCTTTTATTTTAAATATTCTATTATACTCAGAAATACGGTTTAGTCTGTGGAAGTTGATGCTACACAAACAAAGTAAGAGAGCTCAGCAAAATTCCAGTGGAAAAACTGGATATTCACTTTGGATAGTCTTAAAAGCTTTAGGAGCAGTAATTAACAAACAGGTGCTGGCAACGATGTAAAGATAAATCCTTCAGGGCAGAAGATAACCTCTAGCTAATGGGAAACTGAGGTTAGCTGGGGTTTGGCTTTGTGTTTGGGTTGTTGGTTTGTTTTTTTCTTTTAAGCAAGTTATTTCACAAAGAGCTCTTATATCACTTCTTATACTTTCTTGATTGAAACAACAGTCATGATTAAAGATAGAATACCAGAGCAGACAGCACAATACTCTAATTCATATTATAACATACGTTAAATTTTCCGTCTTTAAAGAGATTCTTTTCATAGTGCAAGTTACCAGAAGACAGACTATTCAGAACAGTAAGCTTTTTGCCAACAGAAAATCACAAAAACAAAAACCAAAAAACCAAATCCACCACGCACAATTGGACATCAAGAAAGAACCTTTAAATACTCATATTATTATACACCACTGTTGCAGGAAAGCAAAGCCACGCACACCATTTAAGTTTTATGGTAACTCAAAAACATGAATAGCTACTTACCTACTACTAGCCCACACTCAGAACAAATCATATCACCAGCTCTGTAATCCTCCACTAAAATGGAATCCGGATGATTTGGGCAAGTCACCCGTGGAAGTACATCCAAACTAAGAAAAAAAGAAGTATTAATTACTTTTAAACAAGCAGGCTGCATATCCAAAAGTCTAAGAGTTCCTTACTGACAAGAATACTTAAAAAATGCAGAATTCACAGCGATTTGACTATTAACCTGAATACCTGAGCTGCACCTTTCACTTAAATCCTGTAACACTGCATTTGATAATCAACACTTCAGATCTTAAATTCCACATTTTTTGCAATGCATCTTGCACTAAAAACACCTCAATATAAAACATCAAAAATCTAAATAAGAGACTTGATAAAATATGCACTACAGCCTTATCTGTACATTCCATCTTAATTTTATTTGTTAGATATTTCTGATGAGTCAAAAATACAAAGAAGCAATCCAAACATTTTAATCCACTGACTGTTCAGAAAAATATCTAAGACTTGAAACCAAAATCAACCTCATTATTAATATTAAAGACTCCAGAATGCACATGTACACACAAGATTTTCAGATGTAAATTACGCTCAAAATACTGCACTAAAGCTCTTTAAACTACTTTCCTTCTCCCTATTCCCAGCCAGTAGTTTCATATGACAAAACTGTTGACAAAGCATTCACAATCATCTGACATTTGGCATTACACAAAAGGCTACTGACACACTAAGCAAACTAAGGGGGGGAAAAAAAAAAAAAAAAAAACAAAACAGAAGCCTCAAAGAATACCAACAGTGTTTTGTTTCAGATTTTACCTTCACATAACATTGTAAAAATTAGTCTTCTTATCTCAATTTTAACTCGTATATCTAAAGAGATATACTGTCCTCCTTGCAACATACAGGCTCGATATACTAAGCCAAAGCAAAATGCATAGCACGTGTGTAAAGGCCCATCTCAGCAAAGGAAGTACTTCCTAGATCCTAGGACAGGTTTAGCAAGAGTTACAGAGTCATTCCATAGTCTGCTTCATGAGCCTTCCTTCATTCCTGACTGGAAAGAAAAGCTCGATAGGTCTCCAGGGAGAAGAATTCCGAGCCCGAAACCCGTTTGGCCACTGGCTGGTGCCGGTACGGATTTAGGGTGGGAACCCGCAAGCAGTTTCCAGGTCCGATAAGGTGAAGCCAGGCCAGGCGCTGCTGAGCGGGGTCCCGCCGGGAGGCCCTGGGGGCCCGGCCCCTCCGGAGCGGCGCTCGGGTGCGGCACTGCGGGGCCGGCCCCACAGGGAACCGGCCGGGCCGCCGTTCGCACCGACCTGCCATAACGAGGGGCCCCGCACTTCAGTCACGAATCGCCACGATCTCGCAAAGCGCTGGCGTCCCCTCGGAGCGCTGCCCGGCAATAGCGACATGAAGACGCAAAGGCGGCGAGCTCGGCCCCTCAGAGGCCGCTCCGCCGGGGGCCGCCCGGCCCGACCCGGCCGGGCCCAGCCCGCAAGGACAGGCGCGGCCGCCCGGCTGCCCTTCCCGGCCTCTCAGGAGCCGCGCACGGGGCGGACTCGATACAGGGGACACCGGAGAGGGCCCAGCTGCGCTGCGCCGAGCCGGCGGCACCGGGGCCGGGCGAGGCCGGCGATGGCCGCCGGTCCGTCCCCGAGCGGCACCGGCGCGGCCATTTTCTCTCCCTTCCGCGGCCGGGAGCGACGGCGGAGCTGCCCCCACTCCTCCCTCGGCCCCCGTCCCCGTACCGGCTGGTGGACGCCATCTCGCCGGTGCCGCAGCGGTGCCGGAGACGAGTCGGGGGCACGTCCCGGTTATTAAATACCGACAGCGGCGGGCGGGGCCCCGGGCGCTCCTACGGGTCCCGCGAGGGGGCGGACGGAAAGACGGGCGGCCCCGCCCCGCGCCGGCTCTGGGGCGGGCCTGGCGGGCTGCGGGCTGCCTGCCTGCCCGCCCGAGGGCTGCGACCCCTGCCACCCAGGGCGGCTTCGGGACCAAATAATAAATGTTGTAATAAATCACAGTATTTATTGGGACCGTCGTTTAAAAGGTCTGCCCTGGGTTGGAATCTTGCCCTGGGACCAGGCCCTCGAGGAGCAGCCCCGGGCTGCCCGCAGACCCCTTCACAAAGCCCGCCGTGCTGTCCCCGGCGTGTGACTTCGGCTCAGCTGTTCCTGTGCAAACTCCAGCAGTTCAGTGAAATGCCGCAGAAAACAAGTGTAACTTGAAACTACGCAGAGACAATTCTCAGAAAGGGGAAGTAGAGACAAGTTTAGTTCCCCATTACTTGCATCTCCTGCTACATCTGTTCTGCTGTGCCACTGCGCAGGTTCACTGACGAGAAGAAGCTGGCCCTTCTTGCTGCAGGAGCCGCAGGTGTCGGGCAGCCCGACTGTGACTCACGGAAGCCCTCGGCAAACAGGCCATGCACAGACTGGGCCTGGCCCGAGCAGACACACACACCTGCTGCTTGTGTGGGCTCCCCCTGTTACCCTGCACTCCGGATGTGATCAGATCCCCTTCTGTCTCTCTCCCTTGCACCCACCCTGGCAGCAAACATCAGGCCAAAGAGAAGGAGAGACCGCAAGAACTGTTGCAAAACCAAAGCCCTCCAGCGCTGGACCCTACTTCAGGCTTTAATTCCCTGAGAGGTAATCCTTACACAAAATTAGTCTGTACAATAAGCAGCAAAAACAGGTTTTCAAACCCAAGCTATAAAAGAGTGGAAAAAAATTTATTCTTTTGGTGTGACCTATTCTCACTAAAAGAGAGAGATGGATAGGACAGGACAGTCTACAGGTCTTGGAAAGTGCCATTATTTCAATGCTTTAAAGTGATCAGTATTGAAGTCTCTTAAGTTATAAATTTGCTATCTATCTATCTATCAATCAGATACAAAGGACTTTTCACACTTAAGACCATGTCTCCACTATATAACAAGAATATTTCAATTTGTTAGCACGAAGAAGGAAATTCACAGGGTTGAAAAGTTCTGTTAATACTTGGTAATATTGAGTCAAATTCACACAACTCCTAAAAACTTCTCTGCTGAGTAAAACACTGTGTGCTTGTTGAAAATGAGCTAGTTTGAACTTGCCGACACATTACTTTGATTAAAAAAATAGAAACCTTTTGGAATAAAAGGAAGCTGAACTACTAGGAGGTACAAATACTAAAATAAAAATTTAAAGATTTTTTTTCCACTTGCTGTGACCTTTTTCACAAATGCTCAGTAAACCCAAAAGATGAAAGAATAATAAAAGAGAAACACTGTAACTGTCAATGTGAATACATTATGTGATATTGTTTCCCTATAACCTCCGAAATACGTATGGAGCAGTGACTGCAACAGATGTGCCCCATCACCACTATCAGTCCCATCAAGCCTTCCAGGTTTGTCCTGACTTCTCCTATATTCCATTCTACAAAAAAAGAACCTCTGCTGGCCATCAATCCTCCTGACTCTATGCTTATTAACTAGGATTAACCTAATTTTCACCACATATCATCAATTCTTTATTCTCTATCTGCAGCAACTTTCCAAGCACTTCATCCAAAAGCAGAAGACAAAAAGTGGTTGATGTGGCAGATGGAAATACTACTATTAACAATCTCTGTCAACAACAGACCATTTCAGTAGCTTACACAAAGTTTACCTTGCTGTCCCCAGCTGTATCTGTTCTTTCCCATCACTGTAGTTCCAATAATAATCCTATTTTAAAACTTATTTAATTGGTCATTCTGCAGTTTCTTAAAATTTCATGCCAAGTATCTCATGCTGGCTACTGTCAGTAATAAAAATGTGTAATTAATCTGCAATTCTTACATTGCTAATATTACCACAATCATTTCAACAATAATGCAATAGGATATTCAAATGCCTTTGCAAACACAATGAACAGTCCATTAATGAAAACAAACCACTGGTTCTTACTTGTATGTCTAAAGGTCCTTTGTAATGGTTTGTTGATTTATCACGCAGTTCAATTGTAATCTCTTAGTTCCTGCTACAGTACAGCTCCCTACTGCAACTTACATAAACAGATTTTAAACTCCTTGTAAAATACAGTGTGGATCTCACAGAAATTTAGTGCCTAAAAAATTAGTTTCTCCTCAAATTTAATGTAGGAATTTCCAAATTAAATTCATGCTGAAATTACAGTTGAGTCATTTTAATTGCTGAATCAATTTTTCTACACAAAGACTACATACCACCTTAAAAACACCAGCCAACCATCTTCTGGTGAGATTTGGAGAATGGCAATGCAAGACAGCTACAACTATGGAAGTCCCAGCTACTGGACTCCCAAAAGCCCAGGACCAAGAAGTATTAACGACAAAACCTAGCAGCTGCTCTCCAAGTCCAGTTTCTATATCTTTTTTTTTAGGTTCCAGCCATGGTCACAGTGTGATGGAATTGGGTTAAGATTCCAGCTGTGCAATCACGGAATGAGTAAAATATTTGCAAAACCAGTTACTGAACTTAATCACGCTTTGCACCATAAGGCCTGTCAGGGTTTAAACCCAGCTGGCAACTAAGCACCACGCAGGCACTCGCTCACCCACCCCAACCAGTAGAATGGGGAGGAGAATCAAAAGTAAAACCTGTAGGCTGAGATAATAACTGAAACAAAGTAAAAAAGAACAATAATAGTAAATAATATTCACGATAAAAGAAAGGATAAAAAAAAGAAGAACAAGTGATGCACAATACAGTTGCTCACCATACACTGACTGATGCCAGACCCCGTCCCCAAATCCTGATTGGCCTCCCCTTCCAGTAACTCTCTAGTTTATATACTGGGCATGACATTCTGTGGTGTGGAATATTCCTTTGGCCAGTTATGTCCCAGCTGTGCTCCCTCCCGGGTGTTTTTTTTCTTTTGTACCTCCTCGCTGGCAAAGCAGGAGACACAAAAAAGTGCTTGATATAGGATAAACACAATTTAGCAACAACCAAATCATCAGTTGTTATCAACAGTATTCTCATACTGAATCCAAAACATGGCACTTTACCAGGTCCTGAGAAGAAAATTAATTCTATCCCAGCTGAAACCAGGACAGCTGTAAGAAGAACATAGAAAGAACACAGAGAACAAAGCACTCAGTTTTAAGAGGTTACCTACCTCAATTGCTTCTGCTAGTGGGAAACCCACCTACAGATTAAAAGATTGCAGAAAGAACTGAAAAAGGAGGCAACTAGAAAGGAATTCTCCATTTTGATCTCTTTTGAGACACTTCTCTATCTACTGTGCTTGAAAAAAGCCAGTTGAGCTCCACAGCACAGCATTAAGCCCACACCCATGGTCCCCCTAGATCTAAAGAGTTTGAAGTAAGTTTGGTGTGAAATTACCTATGTTGTGAAATGGTAGGAAAATGAATGACAGGATTGATTATGTCACTGAACATCTGATTGTGAAGGAGCCTCTAAAGCCAAGTCTTCTGTATTTTGCTTTGTAGATTCATCCATGTAATAAATACATAGGTAGACATAAGTAAATAGAATTCCTACTCTAGATGCCACTCTTACAATTTTATTGAGGGCTGAATACTTTCAGAACACCACACATGACTATTGTGGGAAATAAAATAGTAATTATGCAACTTAGCACTTTTCATTTTATTTAAACTGATGCAATTTGTGCACAGACAAGGTAGTTAGGTAGGCAGGTATGTGGAAAGTCACTGCAATTATCTAATATGAGGCATGTCTTAATCTTCCTCTTCTGCAGGTTATTTGGTTTCACAAACCATGATGTTTCTAAGTCTCTCTCTTTAGTTCTTATGCTATCTCATAAAAAACACCTCCTACTTTTTCTTGTAAGCTTTAAAATATCTATATTATCTATTTATTTTACACTGAGTTCTACATTAAAAGAAGTGAATCCTTTTTTTTTTCTTTTTTTTTTTGAAAAAAGTAAATTACTTTGAAAAGACTGAAAATAACCTCTGAGTTGCATTACACACATTTTAGGTAAATCATTGTTTTAATTCCTCAGCAGGTGGCAGCAAAAAGTTATTTCCAACGTCATATTAATTCTGTACTGTGTTAAGTAATTTGTTCTTAAATTTCCAATAAAATTCCCCTACTATTAGATAATTGTACCATATGAAAGAGTTAATAGGAAAAATCAGCCTGTCTGCTTATTCCAGTTCTTCAGAATCACTTCAGCTGCATCTAGTGTGCTGTCTTTCTGCAAAACAAGGAACAGTTGCACTATTACTGCAAGTATGGAGTTCTTGAAGAGAGAGGCAGTCATGATTATATCATCCCAAATCAGTATTTGGCAGTTTCACTCCTATCCTGTAAATATCATGTCAGCCAGTTTTTCTCTAACAGTTATTAGCTACAAATCTGGACTGAACAAGGAATTCAATGCTGATTCCTTGAAAATATTTATTATCTATATTTAAAAGATAACACATTTTCTCAGCATTCATACTACCACATTTAATGAAAGCAACACTGATATAAATGCCTGGCATTAATGTAGTGATGTAACTTGGCAGCTCTGTTTTGGAGACATGCTAGCTTGTCTCTGTACCTTCCTTGTTCCTATATCTTCCTAATCCCTATGTGTATAGTTGGGATTTTTTAATCTGCATGCAACCATATTATGCTGTGAACCACTTAAACATAATCCCCCAAATATGGGTAATTCATCCATTGGCCAGCTGTGTAGTTTGGCTACAACCTGGTGAGTCATACAGGTTGTCCAACATGATTAATCCAAAATGATTAGTGCTGCTCATGGCAGACAAGCCACATTTACAAGCAGCAAGTTTCATCCTGGTTGTTAGTGGCTGAGTTTATACCAAAGACTTTACACCTCATCAAAAGAACTCAGCAACACAAGGGGAAACTCCCCTTCATTACTGG